CTCTCTCTCTCTCTCTCTCTCTCAGTCGTCGCCCTGTTCCAGGAAAAGTTCGGCAGAATTCCCCTCCCGGCGGACACACCGGAGTGCGCCGCCGTCATCGAAAGCGCCCTGGAGAAGAACGGCCTGCCTCCGGACTTCTTGGGAGAAGCGGGGCCCGTTGCAGGCGGGGCGGCGGCCTCCTTGTGCGCCACGGCCACGGCCGAGGTCTCCCCAGTGTGCGCCATCTTGGGGGGCATATTGGGGCAGGAGGTGAGCAAGCGAGCAGTGGTCTTGGTAGAATTTTTCGATTACGTGAAACATGTTGGATAGGACATACAATCGGGGAAGTTGGGTTCGGGTAAGGAATAGGGTCTGTGTCCCCCCCTCCCCGTTCTGTTTCCTCATGGAAGTATTATTCTCGCGAAGGCGGTCCCAAGCAAGGCGAAGGCACGCGGTGCCGGAAAGTAAAATTGACAAGAGGCGAAGACACCCTCGCGACGGCAGAAAACTGTTGATAGATAACACGCGTGGATTTTTTTTGTGTGGTCGGCAGGTGACGGCGTTGTCCTCTTCGAGGGTGGCGACAAAAATGCTGATATTTCCACATTTGTCTTGCTTGTCGGGGCAGCAGCGTGATTGGAAATGACCCGCCATAGATCTTGCACAACGGGTTACCGTGCCTCAGGGCCTTTGTAGGAGCACAGCACACGTATGCATAGCACGCCTAGAGGTCCATATCGCCGCCTTTGGGTACAGGAATCTTCGTTTTTTTTTCATATACATGTAATCGTTTTTTTTTAAGAGAAGTGGCCCAGTAGGGACGCTTTTTGCTTTTCAAAAGAAATCTGTTTAGAGGGGGGGGGGAACGGGCTCAAGGAAGTCTGTCTGTCTGTCTGTGACCAGCCTCGATATATTACCCAGCAAATTCATTCCAGCCCATTTCACCATCTCGGCACCAAATTGCAATCTAAGACGTGTTCACAACAAGTAATATTTGGCCCGAGCTGCTCCAACTGCTACCTTTTCAATCCGTGCTCGGTGCGTCGAGATAGTGCAGCGTCGGTACCCAACTTGAAGCAGGGAAGCTTCTGGCCCCTTGCAACACCGAGTGGAGGCGTCGTTTGACTTTGAACCCAAGACAGCCTCGCACACCACACACCACACACACAGAGCCAGACATGGACAAACAGGGAGAGGGAGACACAGACCACAGCGAGGGCGAGACGGCGGGAGAAGGGTGTGCCATACACTGCTGCTGTTAGCTATCGGCGGAGGAAGCGAGAGGAGAGATCAACATTTGGTTGCAGCAGCAGCAGCAGCAGCAGCAGCGGCGGCCTCTCTCTCTCTCTTTGCGCGGAGAGGGCACATGACACCAATAACACACAGACGCTGCTACGCACCACCATTGGTGCGACATGAACTGCTGTACGCCTCTCTACACTTTTGTGCGCGAAGGCCTAGTGTGAGACCAGTGCCTCCCGTGCTAGCCTGCTTACCCATCACACGCTTGAACGCTTTTGAGATTTTTCGATCAAAGCTCGAACCAACAAGCGAAGCACAACAGCAGGGACATCTTTTTTTTTTTTTGCTGCTAGCCCTATTTTTTAATATACCACACCCCTCCCTCCCCCCCGGAGTCACATTGATTGGCGCCCCCCACACCTCAATCAATATGTTGTAATACTGCTGTGTAGTAAACGGGCCAATGGAGGCAACGCACGAGCCTACTGCAGGTACGTTTTTGAACAAAAAACTATTCCACCTCCCGATCTAGAACTTCTACTTGGGTGCTTCACCAACCGTGACCCCGGGACATACATACAAGCAATCAGCCGTTTCGTGTCAACAAGTCGCTCTTGGGTTAGGGCAAGTCATCGTTCGTTGTTGTCCACCTGTACAACAGTGTAGCGTCTACAACGATCGATACAAATCTCCCATTATCGTCATGCCTTTTGTGTGCCCCAGGCAAAACCCTTTTGGTCAAGACACCAAGTCATGTTATCACACGTTGTCCGCTGAACTCGCATTGCGTATTTGGGGTCATGCAGGTCATCAAGGCTATTTCCGGCAAGGGTGCGCCTGCTTGCAACTGCGTAGCTCTGACAGGGATGACCGGAGAGGCCAAGATGTTCAGAGCGCCCAGCAAGGCAAAGGCCTAGTCGTCACAATCTACGATAGAGTCTTCTCCAATACCCTTTAACTACTGTGATGTATTGAAAAGGAATGGCGACGAGGCAATTCTGGGTCTCGCCTGGGGGGAGTTGTACCAAGTTGTATTCTTTCTAGGCACGTACGTTGTATTGGAGGTGCAGATACTGAATTGGTACGTGGATGCTGCTGGCGATCAAGAAAAGTCAACTACCATCGACATACACGCGATGGCCACAGCTGTAGCCTTTGGCCCAGAATGTAGCGGAGGTTTTTTGTTTTGTTTTGTTTTTCTCCCATCATTGGACTCTGTCGTCTGCCCTTCTGGCCCCTATCCTCCACCTCTACCAGCTAGACGACCCAACCGGGGTCACATAGGAGGGGGGGGGTGGACCCCCTCCTGCTGTTCATGCCTGAGGTATTTTCATCGCGAGAAGGGTACAGCAATTCCTTCCCTTGCGACTTACGAAGTCGATTATGGCTTACTAACAAACGAGCTTTGCAGCGCGTCGCTTTCATCCTAGACCAGGATTTATTTAGTGAGAAAAAAACTCTCTCTGCCGGGACTCGAACCCGTGACCTGGCCCTTAGCAGGCTGCGAGGCTACCCACTAGACCACCGGGGCGACCGGTGTCCTCCTCTGGTTTGCCTCCATGGAACGGTATCCGGGGGGCGCGCGGCGGTTGGTTGCGGCCCCTTCGCCGTGCGGTTTTCTCTCTAATCTACCTCCTCGTTACAACGACAACCTCTGACACATGAAGGAAGGAAGGGTGATGATGCCGATACGTCGACGACCTCTATCCTGCGCGAGAACCAAGGTGCAACAAAGACAGAGAGACAGACAGACAGAGGATTAACGACAGCGCACCACCAGAGCGGGGTGACTTGAGTATTTATTGATGGATTCGAAAGCAAGGATGGATCGCTTCTCGCGGACGGAAACGCGGGAGTTGCAGGCGCCCAGCATGGATCTCGGCGAGCAACGACTGACTTTTCGCATCTCGCTTGCGCACGGGGTGTGGCTGGATCAATGCTTACGAGCAAAGAAAGAGTGTGCGAGGTGCAAGAGAAATCAGTTATTAGTGCAGCAGCACCAGCCGGACCACTGACAAGAGGCCGAAGGTGCCATGCAGTCGAACATTTGATTGAACGGTCACCGCGGACCGCAGTCGAATTTGTTTCGATTCAAGCGATTTTGGCCTGTGGTGCGCGATCCTGGGTCCCGGGCGAAAAAAAATATGCATGTCCGAACTGCAACTACTCTCCGGTCGCCCCGGTGGTCTTCTAGTGGTATCATCGTAATCCGCTAGTCGCAGAGGTCGTGAGTTCGAATCCCCATGGGTGAAAAAATTACGAAATTTGCGGGTGAAAACGAAATATAGCTGACAATATCTCTCGTGGTGAGTACCAACCTTCGACGTTAGCACCGTTGACGAGGGAAAGGGACGGCTGGACCCTTCTCGCGATAAAAATAAAATTCAGCACGCACCGCAGGAGGAAGGTGGGGCATGAAAAGAAATGAAAAGACGACAATAACCCTGGGTGTTTTAACCCCTCCTGTGTGACCCTGGATGGATGGTTGGTTGCATGCAGTTGTACGAAAAAATACACTGAAAAGTGTAGTACTCTACATACGCTGAAAAGTGCAGAACAAGTCTCACCACGAAAAATGGGGGGACTGTCGCCATAATAAATAGGACGAAAACACACACACACTCTCTCCTACTACTGCACTTGTACTGCTATACATGACCGTGAAAGAAGCCCCCTGTATGATAATAGTTCCTATGATGTCGAACCGAAATCGAAATCGCCCTCCCGGGTGGGGGTGCGGAGGAGGGGTGGCCTATTATGCGTCCGGATTTTGTTTTCGCGGGTACACCTTTCATCACTCCACAGCAGTTGTAGTACAGAGGTTGCGGCCCGCGAATAAGAAACGTCAATTTCGGGTCGAGGCTCATCAAAGTCTTGTTTCTGGATCAAACACCAAGTGCTTTTTTTTTTTTTTCTTAATATCACCACCCAACAAATCCATCTCTATCTATATATAGAAATAAGTCTGAGATAGATAGCAATGAATCCATACACAGGTGGCCAGTGGGCACGGTTACGGGGGGGTTAAATTGACCTGTAACCCCTAGGCGTTGTACAACCTGCGCAACCCGGTCGGGCGCACCGTTGCCAACCTCCAAGGTCAGGCAGGGTTCGGAAACGCCGGCCCAAACCCAGTTAAGGGATATTTGTATCTGTGCTTGGTTGCAGGCGAGTTTGTCCAAGCCCGACAATGTCCATGCCTTGCCGCGAAACCTATGTACCAGCCGGTGTCCACAGAGTACACGACACACCGACACTCGCGGCAAAAAAAAAAAGCTTCAAGGGTGCCGGCATTTGAAGCCCGATTTTATAGTTGACTACCGTTAGACGTGCAAAAATAAAAACAGTACACCCCCCCCATCTCCGCACCAGTACTATTTTCAAAGGAACCTCCTCCTCGCCGCTGATCTGCAACTAACTGCCCACCGGTCACCCCGCGAGTAGCCCCTCACCCCTTCGTGAGTGCTTATTATCTTGCAGCTGTCGCGTTTTGGGGCCTCTGTTCTTCACCACTCAGAAAGGCGGGTTCGTTCTTGTTCTTAACACCACGTCGGGCCTGACCACGCAGGCACGTGTTGTTATTATTATGTGGTAAATTTCTGTGATTTTGCTTTTTTTCGAGGCCACATTTCTTAACTGCCAAGTTTTTAAGTGCGAGCGCCATACATATTGATCTTCTGATCATGATGTAGTGCCGGAAGCAACATAGACATGGGCCTACTCTATTTGAACTCTATTTGATTTATATATTGTTGCGTAGAAACACGTACGGCAACGATCGGGGCGCAAAGCAAAGACTGAGAAAAGGAGAGAGTAGGCGATGATACACTATATATATACATACGCTGCCTCTCTCTGTAAAAGTCAAAACGACAACACGCACGTAAGTACGTACGTACGTACGTCTGTCTCCTACAACTGTAAAATAATAGTCTAGTAGTCGAATGTTATAGTATTATTACATAAAAAATCTCGAATGAAAAGAAATGCGCGCTCAGCATTACACAATTATATACTTCGTATATATGTTGTTGCTGCTGTGGAACAAAAACACTTAGCTAACCATAAACATGCCATTGAATAATTGGTAATGAAAGACATTACTCGGAGTTTTCGCTTTTTGCGTGGGGGGGGACCACAGAGTATAAGTGTGCTCTTATCGGCCGCGTGGGTAGTGTTGCCACCATTGTTTCCGCCCCCAGATGAGGCTAGCTATGTTCCAACATGTAGCGTAGCGTTCACCCGTCTTATACTGTACGCATGATGAGTTGCTGGTTCGATCCACCCTGCTGTTGTATGTTTTCTTCGCCGATCATCTCGAAGTAGAGTAAAATTGTCTGCCGATATACACTATTGCGTAAACACAATAATACAGACAAGGGTGGAACACAAAGTAGCAAGGGAGGGGAAGGCTCACACACACTTCGAGTATGTTTTTCTTTTCTCCTCCTTCACACCTATCCGCGCATGACCGCTTTCATAACCCGGTACGTTGTGCCCGCTCGGCTTTTAACCCCCCAACGTTATCCCATGCAATAACCCCTGGTTGGCCGGAGGTTACACAACTCCCGCGTACAACCGTGCCCACTGGCCACCTGTGTACCGTGAGCGAAAGGCTACCTGTATGTCTACGATTTCTCACACTTTTTTTGACATACATTGCCCTGCTCTGCTCTGGCAGGGCTTCCTCCAATCCGAGGTCCTCTCTCTCCTTGGATCCTTTTTTTGAGGTTGAAGGGATTGAACGGGATTTATTTGTTGTTGTTGTGTGAAGGCTGCAACTAGATGCGTGGAAAAAAAAAAGACGACGCTGCGGAGGCCTTCGCAGACGCGTTGGCGTTTGCTTCATCGTTGCGCTTTTTCCGTAGACTGGCGATATCGCGGGCTTTTTTTGCCGAAGCCTTTGCCGCTTCATCGTTGCGCCTCTTATTGCGCCTCTTACTGGCCATGTCGCCGGCTGCTTGTGCCGAAGCCGTTGCCGTTGCTTCGTCCTTGTGCTTCATCCGTTTACGGGCCACATCATCCCCATTATTATTGACGGAAGTTACCGAACTTGTTTTCGCAGCTTCGGCCTTTGCCTGGATGTCAATTTCTGCATCTGCAATCCGTTTCCAACCTCGAATTGCGGCTTGCTTCCCGGCCTTGTGCTTGAGAGTTGCCTGCTTTAATAGGTCTCGGCGTGCTGTGGCAGCAACGGCACGGACCCGATTTGCAGATGCACGAGCTCGTCTGGCGTTCTTACAACTCGATGAGTCCTTCATTAATTTCGCCAAACTAGCACAGGCTTTTGCCTCGGCGGCACGTTCAGCTCGTGTAGGTTTCTTGTAGTCGTGTCTTTTAGCCGCCGCAGTGTCCTCTTTTTGCTTTTGCTCCGCCTCCCGTAATGCCAGCAGTTCTCTTTCTTGCTCCTTGTTTTGTGCCGAAAGTGATCGAGGGAATAGTCCAGCCCTTGCTTGGGCAGTAGTGGGCTTGGTCTTGAGGCTATTCCTACGCCCTCATATGAAACAAAAGAATGCAGCAAGGAGTAGTGTATCCAATCAGTGTAATATGTAGACTTTATAATAAGCACGACGCTACGACAACAACAACAACAGCAGATCCGGGTGGACTTTGTGACTTACTTGCTGCATCCTTTCTTTGTTCGAAGACTTAGACTAGTCATCCGTTATTAGACTGCTACTGCTACTACTACTTCGTAAGCGCTGACTGGCTGGTCAGATGGTAAAGTCTACATACAACGTCGTCTGATTCATCGGCAAACTTCTGGATCTCTTCTTCCTCTTTAGCCGCGGCGGCATCCGCAGCTGCAATAGCGTCTCGACTCTGAGAAGCTGAGTACAAGACGCCCCCGACTACGCTGTCGCCGTTGGGATAAATCTGACGGAAGCCGCGCTGCACGCATGTGCGACTTTCAAGCGGCTTTCCGTCCTTCCCGAAGCCAAACCTATGAAGCAGGTAGGTACGAAGAAGGAGAGCAAGCATGATGAATAAGAATCGGGAAACACGTGCACGAGTTGGCGTTACCGTGTTTGTGGCAGGTGTAGGTGCATTGGGGCACGAAAGAAGGAGAACAAGCAAGCATAAGAATCGGGAATGAAGAAGACACAGAAAAGCACGAAAACACGCCCTTAAGAAACGAACCAAATACATGCCGGAAGAAATCATACCTGCACGAGTTCGCGTGACCGTGTTTGTGGCAGGTGTAGGTGCACTGGTGCATGTTGGCTGCCTTTGTAATTTCCGCGANTTGTGGCAGGTGTAGGTGCACTGGTGCATGTTGGCTGCCTTTGTAATTTCCGCGACCTCAGCGCGAAGGAGTCCGAGATTCTGTTCGTCGGCGGCGACATCGCGTTCAACTCCAGGTGGCGGGAAGCATGCAGACGGCGGCGGCATTGCGATTGTCTCGGTTGCAGGTCGTTTGAGAGGATCGCGGGACGGCGGGGGCGTACCATCTTCTGGTGCGTT